AGCGGCGTGTACTGCAGAGTATGTAGCTAGAGCCTGCGGCCCTCCACGCCACATACCCTTCGGGAGGTCTGCCGCAAGGGCGGCTGCGCCCTTGCCGCTAAGGCGTTAAATACAAAACAAACAAACAAACAAACAAACAAGCAAGACGGAACTCGACAGGGACTCGTCTCGCGCATCCTCCAGTCTCCGCACTTCTACAAGTGGCTAATGTACGCCATCCTCGCCTTCGCTGTCGTTCTCGTAGTCTGTATGACGGTCTCTTGGGCCTGTCAACTTGTTTATGGAGGCGGTTCTCTTGCCGTTCCAACTTGCCCAACTCGTCGGCACGGGAGTGATGAACGTTTATCACGCCACTCTCGGGAGGATCTTTTCGTCTACTGCACCGGACACCCAGGCGCCAGCGACGGTGGCTTGCAGGCCGCTGGGCAGATTTCCACGGTCCTGGAACACTTGCAGACCGTGCAGGACGAGACCAACGTGGAGTGGGAGCGTCACCTGCGAGACGACCTCCGCGCCACGCGCCGGGCAACGGCTGAGCTGCGCCGGCTCCAGCCCGATGCAGAGCGTAAGGTGGCCTCGTGGTGGTGGTGGATTCTCTGCGAGACGCCGCCGCCGGCGTTGGTCCCGGGAAGATGGTGCGCAGGTCTGCCGTCGCGCGTCGTGGCGGTGCTGGACAAGGCCATTGACGTGACGCAGGGGGCCAGGAAGATCCGGGAGGTGCACATCAAGGACGGACGCATTCTTGTCTCCGCCCACGACGTCAAGGAGGAGGTGTGCCGGCTGCATGATCAGGATGTTCTGGGCGGCATGGTCAAGGAAGTTGCGCGGCAGATCTCCGCCCAGGTCAAGGATAGCGGCAGCGACGTGCCCGATGGCGTGGTCAGGGAGGAGGACAAATTGAACGAGGGCATCGCCGCGGCGGGAACAATGACAGCGACAACCGAGAGCCTGCGCCGAGCGGAGACACGCCTCAGCGACCAGCGCAGCGGGCTCCGGGTCAACTGCATGGCGGCGGCGCACGTAGAGGCAGGGGTCGGCATCGTGCGGGACAGGCTGGTTGCGCAGGTTGACGCTTTAGAGGAGATCTCGGACTCGTTCGTGTGGCTGCGGCAGAGCGTGGTGGACCAAGAGAAGAGCGTCCCCGACGCCATCGAGAAGGGCATCGAACTGCTTGCGACTCTGGAGGCGGAGCTCATGAGATGCGTGTGAAGTGGAACAAGTTCATGGAGATCGTGGAGAGCTTGGACGGCTTGAACGGCATGGAGGGCATGGATGGCATGGAGGATATGGAGATCAAGGAGATGTAGGTGGGTAGACTGGCACATTGAGAGATTACCCAGCTGTGAATCCCATGACGAACACGTAGAGCCGCATGACACAAGACTGGCTTCAACATGAAGAACAAAGCTCCAAAGAGTCTTACAGATCAAATCCCAACAAAAGCAGGTCAACGGTGGCACCGAGGACATGAGAACCTCCCTGCGCGCCGGGTATGCCCTGAACTAGTTCCTGGACGATGATGTCCAGACCCTCCCGCAGCAGCGCTGCCCTCTTTCGAAGATGGTCGGTCTGGTCCTCCAACAGGCGTAACTCATTCCGCATCGTCTGCGCTCGACCGTTGTTGTTGTTGCGACCACGCCAAAGGGCCATGATCTCGTCGCCTTGGACGTGCCGTAGCTCCAGATGCAGCTCTGCCAGCTTTTCGAGCAGGAAATGGTATTGCGGAAGCAACTCGGCCTCGTTGTTGTCGTCCGGGGGAGGCGTCAAGCGTCGTGATGGGAGGGGATGTTCGTCCTCATCGTCGTCAGGGGGGAGCGTCATGCGGTTTTGCCGGGGTTTGACGACCGTTGCAGGCGGGGTGGGCAGATTGACAGGAGGGACCTGTCGTCGAGGGGATCGAGTGGTGGTGGGCTGCGCGATGTTGTTGTCGTCAGGGGCAACTCTCGGACCAAACCCCGACCGTTGAGACTGGCCGCCGAGCCGGGTCTGGGATGGGAGAATACGGTCCCGGGTGGGCGGCGTGATGTCGGCTGGGCGCAGCGAGACCGGCTGCTTGTCCTTCCGGGTTGGCCGATGCGACTCGATGGGTTCCGACGCACGGGAGGGGCGCAGCCCGGGTCCAGCGGGCCGAGCACGGGATGTGGAAGGTTGCAGGTCTGCCGGCGGCAAGAGTTCTTCACGAGGAGAGACTCGCGAATGGAATACGGGGGACGGCGAGGGCGGCGGCGGCGGCGGCGGTGGCGGGGGAGGCTGGCCCGCGATGATATCTTGTTGTTGCTCTTTCGGGTCATGATCCTGACCTTGGTCGTCCGCGTCGGGCATGTCGGGCGCGTCTGCCATTGTAACGTCGCCCTGCCAGGTCGGGAGGGTCCAGGCATCAAGGGCCGGGGGGTAGCTGGTTCCAATCGCTGAATTTCAGTCATGGCTCGCGGCTCGCCAACGGGTGGGTGCAATGCAAGCAACGCGCAACTCACAATCTGGTTTGGTCACCATCCTTGACACCCTCGAGCATCTCGTTGCACCCCTTCTGGTTGCTGAGCTCCTCGATCCGCGCCTTGAGGGCGCTGGCGATCTTTGGGTAGATGACATCGACGTACTTCTGGCCGAGGTCCGCAATACCAAGGGCCTTGTGCAGCTCCGCGAGGTGGAAGTCGTCGGGTGAGGCCTTGGTCAGTTGGTGTCGGATGATGTGGGCGCGTATCTTGGTTTTCTCGGAGGCGGAATAGGAGAGGCGCATGCTCTGGACGATCTTGACGCCGTGGAAGGTCTGGCGGGTTCAGTCAGTAATCAGACATGTTCCCGGTGGTTGAGAGAGACTTACGTCCGCCGTGGCATCGGCGAAGAAGTTGGACTTGACCAGGTCGATGTCTGGATGCGCGCTCGGCGCAAGACGAGTCACGGAGTGGACAGCCTTGGAGGAGGCTGAAACGGACGAGCTGTCACCCTGTGGAAGGAAATGTTGGCAAAGGAGGCCGAGACGAGACGAGCTGTCACAACGTGGAGAGGAGAGGAAAGGAACGAGAAAAGGTTGCTGAAGGAGGGAGATGCGGAAGTGGACGAAGCTGAATGGCTTCTGAATGGAGGAGGCGGGGGCAAACAGAACCGCATCAACCTGGATGGGACCAACAGAATGGACGGAGACGACGCATTGACATGGCATCACAGGAAGGCTAAGAACATGGAGACTGAAGAAGAGGTTCGCTGCATGTGTGTGAGCCAGGGTAGGTGGTCACAGCAAGACATGAAGCGGTGAATACCAACACAAACGGAGAAGAAAGCCAACCTCGGGGAATCAACACCACCACCACCATCATCGCCATCATCGACCCCACACATTCACCTCCTCCTCATCCTCCTCCTCGACCACCCCTGCGCCAGCACTCAGCAGCCTCATCTCGGCGTCAATCTCGCGCATGCGGACGTCGTTGTCGGTGAGCGCCTTGAGAGCCTCCTTATAGTTGTCCATGACAGCGGCGCGTTGCCTCTGCAGGCTTCTCATCCGTTTGGCGGCGTTCGGGGCAGGGCTGAAGATGCCGTCTCCGCCGGAAGGGGTCGCTGGACGTGTCCGGAGCGCGTTGTTGTTGGTGTTAGGGTTGGGGGTCACTGGCGAGGGGGCATTGGCGCGCCTGTTGGTGTTGGGAGTACTGGGGCCGGCGAGGTTGTCTTGACGGTTGCCGGCGTTGGGGCGCGCAACAAAGCCGTATGATCGCGGGGTGCCGGGGTCCGAAGTCATGTCGGAGGGATCGACGGCGCGGGAATCGTCTTGGAGGGATCTGAGGAGGTCTTCGTCGGGCTTCTGCGGCGTGCCGCGACCGCCTCTGCAGCCACGGCTGCGGTTCTTGCGGTCCGGAAGGGGTTGCGCCGGTGATTCATTGTGGCGATCGAAGGTGTTCCTGATCTTCTTGAGATGCCCAAGCCGCTGGGCTCTGCCGTTCTCGAGATGCATGCCGGTCAGGGAGGTTGAGATGGTATCCGCATCGTCCGAATCGTCGTCGTTGTTGTTGCTGCTGCGGCCCGGGTCTCGGCGGGGCTGCTGCTCGCTAGCGAGGAATTGAAACTCCTCCTGCAGAAGCTCCGTGGGCCTCAACAGGTTGAGCGCGTCGACGTACTGGCATCTCAGGCGATTGTCGCTGCTGTAGGCTTCCTTGGCCGCATGGCGGCGGATGTCGTCGTCGCGGTCGGCGATGTTGACAGCTCCAGCTCTGAGGGAGACCCCAAGGAAGCCGCGCTGGGATTCGTCAGAGTCTCGAAAAGCGGAAACAGACATGATGCAAAGGGCGATGTTGTCGACGTGGCTTGGGTATGAGACACGTCGTGAGGGGTTGGAGGAGGATAAGAAGCAGCGGTGAGGCAGATGAAAAGCGAGGAGACAAGTGAAGACCGCAAGACTCAAGACAGACGAGCAAAGATCTCCTTTGAGAAGTAAACAACCGAAGAGATCCATGTCCGTGCTTGCGATGCGAGAGACATTTTGGCGGCTCCAACATGGCAGAGAATGTGACTTCTCATTCTCCCGCACACGAGAAGGGCAGACGATTGGCCGATCTCTCCATGCAGACACCAGCATCAACCCCTCCGTCTTGGCAGGACGGCATATGCTGTGGTGTCCCATGCAGTTCGTCTGGTGTGTATCCGTGGTTCGTCTCTCACATCCTCCACTTGCCATGCAGCTCATGCGTCATGCGGTTCATCCGCCCGTCAGCAGTTCGTCCGCCAGTGGTTCGCCAGGCGGTTCGTCCGGCATGCATTGCGTCCCTAGCTGACGATCGATGCAGTATGCAGGAACCAGTAGCGCTGGCAGATGTGCCGTCCAATGTGACAGGTGCATCTCTCGTGTTGGTTCCCTGCCGTCTTTCCGGACCAGGGCTAGCATCGATCTGGTCGGCCACCCTGGACCAGCCAACGTTCGGCAGAAGCTCGATCGCGGATGAGGGGAAACTGGCGAAGGTGAAAATGGGCGTTGAAGGGGTGAGGTTGACGGTGGTTGGCCCAGCAGGTGGACAGCCAGCCCAGATACCCAGACACGTTCCCGCGCGGTGAGAAACATCAACCCCTAGAGAACGCCACATACCAAAAAGCTTCTCTGCGCCCTGTCGCCGCTCTGGGCCATGTCCCGGACATCTGGATCATGGTATCAAGCTCCGGATCGTGAAGGGCGGGGCGGCAAACGCTGAACATGTGTTGGTGTGAGCGCACCCCGTCGAACCACTAAACACCGCCCAACGAGAGCGAGACCAGACCCAAGGTCTGTCTGCGCGAGCGCAGCTTTGGCGGAGAGCAGGTCGCTTCTCGCAGAAGCGACAAAAGGCAGCCCCTTCGTCATCTGCGACGTGTCTGCTGCCTCCTCTGCTGCAACGCCCTCTCTTTCTTCCCTGGGCTTGCGCGCGCGCACACACACACACACACACACACACACACACACACACAAGACTCAAATCATCTGTAACTTTGTGATGATCTCTGGCATCTCCTTAGACGCCCCCATCGCGCACGTCTCTTTTGGGCTTGCAATCTCTTGCTCAATTTCGTTGCCACGGGCATCCCGTCAACACGGGCCCAACAAGCCGCCGGCTCCGTCATCTCCCACATCCACCCTTCCACCCAAGACGGCACAATCGCCCCGGCACCCAACACCACCACACCCGATCAAGACGGGAGCAATCTCCCTTGGGCTTGCGCACACAGACTCCATCATGTGCATCCGACATCTCCTCAGACGCGATTCACGCGCTCCTCTTCCGCGTGTCGACCTCGTTGCCCCGGAATGCCATCACAACTCGCCGGCTCCGTTTCCACATCCACACACCCACTCAAGACGGCAACAATCCGCCCGCCAACATGGCAGATCATCGGGCTTCGCTCAATGCCACGCGCACCCGAATCCTCCAGGCTGCCCTTCTCCCACTTGGCGCCAGCGTTAAACAGCAATCTCGCTCCCGTCTCGCCAATACACAACCGCGCAGGGGTGCAAACAAACACCCATCCACAGCCACCCGCCCAGCCACACACACTCGCGCAGGTGTGCGCCCGCCACAGCCACAGCCACAGCCACCAACAGCTCCCGCCGTCACGTTCGAGAGGGAAGATTGGCCATGCAGAGACCGGTTCGGAAAGGGGAATGTGATTTTGCGGACCGGGCACCGCAATCTCCCATTCTCTTGACTGATTCCCCTCTCCTATTGGTCTTTCGACTCTCTCTCCCGTCACGGTGGCCAGCTTCACGGCCAGCCCAATCTGCAGCAGCGATTCGCGCCCCGCGTGCGCCATGCCCTTTGCCCACGCTTCTTCCCATCTCTGTCTTGAGCGTCCTGTCTGCCCGGCCGTGGCGCTCAAAGATGGCAAGACGTTGTGAGCAGAGACATCGGCAGCAGCGGTGGTCGCAGCGTAGCGCAGCCAAGGCTTCACGGTCAACAAACAACCATCTCCACGCCAACTTGCCGCAGCGATTTGCGCCCTGCATGCGCCATGTCCTTTGCCCACCACGCCTCTTCCCACCTCCGTCCTGAGCGTCCTGTCTGCCCGGCCGTGGCGCTCAAAGGTGAGAAGACGCTGTGCGCATGGACATTGGCAGCAGCAGTGGCAGCAGCGCGCGTAGCGGGTGCTTCTGAGTGGGGGGCGCAAGATGGTGCAGCAAGATGGTGGGAGATGTAGGCGGCACATGGGAGAATGTAGTTGCATGTATGTGTAGTGTCTTGACTTGCCGGGGGGACGCCCCTGGCACGCAAGATGCTGCGCTATCCAGTTGGCAGGAGGCAATAGTAGATGGAGGTTTTGGAACAATGTATGTTTACGTGGGCGCTGTGAGCGTGGTCGGTGTGTGTCGCCTCCGAGCCCGTGAGACCGGGGGGAAGCGGGTAGTCCGGGGCGTGCGGAAGCCTCCGCCGCGAAGTATGTACAAGTTAGCATAAACACAGTCTCATCCAAGGTCGCGGATGTTGTGCACAGTGCTAATAGCACTATATCCGCAGATGATGTTTGGTATTTCTACTAAAGGCCAAGGCAGCATTGCGGGATCCCACCGCATCGGGCGCATGTTCACGGCACTTGTTGCAACGCAAACACCGCAAACACCTCACCCGCTGCCACCACCACCACAACATCCATCTCCTCCGCGCTGGCCATCATCACCAGATCCCTCGGGCCTGTCGCGTACACGGCCAGCGACCCAAAGATGCCCCGCAGCCGCAGCCGTAGCAAGAGCCAAGGCCGTGTCGACCCCGTCCGCCGGGCGTGCCAGCTGCGCCGTTTCCACCGCGACCTGAAGGCCAAACACCCGTACAAGAAGGACTTAAATCGCCAGGTTCGACACCGACACTCTCGTGGCCATCAACCTGCTGATCGGGGAAGGCACCGATTGGCAGGTTGTGCTGGACGGCGAGACCGAGCATGACCCGAACTGGATGAAAAAGCCCCAGTCCCTTCCATCAGCCATAGTCTGGATCAAGAGGTGGGCGAAAGATGCTGCGGATAATCAGGAACATGTAGACGGCGGAGATAGCCCACCGCAAGTTGCGACGACTGATGATGTCGATTCGGCTAACCTCGAGAGTCCTGCTGGCAGCGAGCGTGAACAAGCTCCGGCGACGGATACCGTCGGTACGGCCAACCTCGATGGTCCTGCTGGTTCTTCAGCCGACCCGAATCCTCCTCTTTGGAACTTGCAGGCGGGCGAAAAGGCACGCAACGCCTTTGAAGAAGGTTTGAAGGTTCACACCGCGGGGCCCCTCGACACAAGACCTTCCAGCGCGGGCCCCCTCGTCTCGAGGCCCCTTGACACGGCCGCCGGCAAGTCAAACAGGACCGAACCACGGGCAATTCGCTACCAGAATGCGCAGATGTATCCGTCACTTCCAGTCCACTCCCGACCAAGCAACGAACAGCCGCGTTCCTCTTTCCGGTTGCCGACCAACGCTCGCGAAAGCTTCGGCTCTCAAGAAGTCGTAGATGCCATTGCCCGGTACACGTCTTCCAGCACAACATCTCACTCTACGGCCGTCCATAAGGAAACAGAGGCGGAGGCCCTCGAGCGCCGGGAGAAGGACCTCGCACGCAAGAGGGAAGAGAACGCCCTGGCCACGGCGGCGTACGACGAGATCCCGCAGCCATATTTGGACTGGCTCATGGCGTACAAAGACGCATCGCGCCGGCAGCGAGCCATGGAGGAGGCGGAAGAGCAGTGCGAAGCCGTGCACGCCAGGGTCAAAGTGGAGCGAGACGCGCTGGATGTCGCGACGCGGGAGCTGGAGGGAGCGAAGAGAGCGGTAACGAATGCCAAACAACGGTTCGAGCTTGCCATGGGACGCGGGTCTGGCCACGAGGGGGCTGTGCTTAGTCGTGATGTCGGTGCTGCTGATGATGATGCACCGCTTCATGCGTTGCGTTCCCACCGCAAGCAGAGAGCCGAGGCATACAACACGGCGTTGGAGAGGTGCACCACAGCCGCCAAGGAACATGCAGCGGCGTACGATGACTGGACCACGGCGCGAGACGCGTATCAAGAGGCGGAGGTCCTCGAGGTACAACGCAAACGTGCGTGGGAGCAGCTCCGCGGTGTGCGTCGAGGTGATGTCGGTCGATGAGGAGAGATCAGTCTGGAGAATCATGTACCGTTAGCTTTAGACTCTGAGGCTTGGGGTATGCTGGAGACACCAATGTTGGCTCGACATACTTTAAAACCTAGTCTGGATTGCGCCTATCGTATGCTACCTACTGGTGACTGCGCGCGCCACGTCGCATGCTCTCTGCCCACCACCATTCCCGTTGGCTCTGGCTGCGGCGTGCGTTATTCGTGCCCCAATTCGCCAAGCCTTGGAGCTGTGTAATCGTGGGACCCAGAGCGGGAATGTACCAATGCGTTCGCGTCAGCACCTGGCGCCATCCTCCAGCTTGCTCCCATGTCTCGGTGACCCACGGCCCGCCGCGCCACCAACAGGCCATGTCGTCTGCTTGCTGGACGTCCAGCGGCGGCGTGCCGAGGAGGGCTACGGTGCGATTGCCCTGCGCGTGGAGCTCTGACACCACCGTACCCACGAGCTGGCGAGAGAAGCCGATGGCCCATGTCAGAGCCGAGGTGGTGTCGAGCAGAGGTAGGAGCTGGTCGTAAGGCGGGATGATGCGAGCGAGAGCGAGCTCGGTGGCATTGAGCCGGGCAGACGAAGTGCTGGCAAATCGCCATCCGGAGGTATTGTCGCGGGTGTCGTTGCGCAGCTTCTGAGCGCGCGCGTCTAGGACGACGTCGGACCGGAGCATGTTGACGAGCAGGCTCAGACTGATGACGGCCCTGGCGACGGTGTGCTGAAGGGAATCCAGGCCGTTGGCAGCAGTGTAGACGGCTTGCGCAAAGCTTGACGGCCTGCCTCGAAGCTCCGGGACGTCGAAGAAGAGTGTGCTGATGGTATGCAGCACGCTATGCGATGTCTCGTTGTAGAAGCGCAAGTCTTGGTCGCGCGAAGTTGTGGCGTTATCCTTGTGTCTATCATCGTTGTGGAGAGGGAGTCGGCCTTTCAGGGCTTCGAGGAGATGGAAGATGGCGTAGGTGGAGGTCGAATGCCAGGAGGACGTCAGGGTGGCCGCTGCCTGGTACCAGCGCGGGCCGACGTTGAGCGTAGAGCGCGACACGTCTCGGCACAGAAGAACTGCGTCCGCGTGTAGGGACGGGCGCGATCGCGAGGACCAAGCCTTGACGGCGGCGCAGAGCTCAGATGAGGCCGTGTTGAGGTGATTGAAGAAGTCGGCGACGGTCATGTTGCCCGGGAGGATCTCTCGGGGGTTCGGGTGGATGCGGTAGTGTCTGTCGACGATGTCTTGGGCGCTGCCAACCACAGGGAGAGGAGCGACGGCGTGGTGCTGCAGCAGGGAGATGAGGTCGTCGAAGACTCGGAGCGGCGCCTGACGGACGCGAGATGGAGCTGTCGGAGAGCCAGGTCGAGGTGGCGACGACGGCGGATAGGTACCGGACGCATTGAACGAGATGATGAGAAGGGCGGTGGCAGCAATGGTCACGAGCCATAAGATGAGAAGCCAGAGCCGGGACAATGAGGATGGGGGCGAGAGCCAGAAGGAGCATCGGGGCGGACGAGACGGAGACGAGAACAGAGGGATCGTCTCCTTGACGAGGCAGAAGTCGATGTTGTTCGGGTCGATGTCGGTATCGGGCGTATGCGCATACACGTAGGCGACGGTGCCATTATCGCGCAGGCGAAGATTGAGGGGGCCAAGAGGCGACGGAGAGAAGTTAGGATCGAACGTCATATTGACTGTTTGGAGGTTCAAGGACGCGTTAGCTGTGTCCTCGGCAGCGGGGCCGGGGCCCGTGCCATTGGCATCTTGGACAGCATCGTAAGTGCTGTCTCGGAGGAATTCGCGTTGCAGAGATACGGTGAATCGAAGGGTAGTGTGTTTGGGGGTGCTGCCGTTGACATTGGTGTCGGCGTCGGCGTCCGAGTCGGAGGCGGATTCAGTGGTGGCAGCAGTGTTGATTAACGGGGAAGGAGATGGCCGAGGCAGCGCAAGTGTCGAGTCTGAGGAGTCAGCCATCTGTGGCTGTCGCTGTTACTGTGGCTTTCACTGTGGCTTTCACTGTGGCTTTTACTGCGTGTCTTACTGTGGCTTCCGCAGTGGCTGTGGTTGGTGGCTTGGGTGCAGCTGTTGCAATGAGAGAGGGAAACGGAAAGGAGACGGCAGTTGGAAAAAAGGCAGGAATAAACAGCGTTTAATGCTTCCCTGGTACTGAATGGTAAGTTGTACGGCTTTTGATCTCGTCCGTTTGTCTATTGTTTATCCATTGTTTGTTCATCAATAATATCATCTGCGACTGTCCCAATGCGAAGAGGGAGACTGGCTGTTATTGATTGGTGCCCGGTCTCGCAGACGTGGCCCACCATGCGCACTGTTCAGTACCGTACCTTAGGTCAGCAATTGAGCTTCCACCGTTGGTCCATTCACTGGGAACCCACCTCATCATTGCGGGCTCACTGAGCCCCGAAAGATCGCTATTCCATTTCCTCCGCAGGAGTGCGTGGTGTCTGCGACGGCTTTCTCGTCAACCGGTCCCTTTCAACGTTGGGGCGTCTCCGAAGCTGAAGACGGCCGGTCTCCTTGGCTGATGCCCACCGCACATTTCTACAGCCTGGAATGCGACATCGCAATCTGATAAAAAAAAACAGCCATGCGCCGAATGACGGTAGACTTGTTCATGCTTGGTCTGCTGTCCCTCACCTGGGGCTGATCCTCACCTGGGGCTGATCACCGTCTTACTTCCAGCGGGCACTCGTGGCGTGCATCGAATTTGTTGTGTATCCCGACTCGTGCGTCGCATGCAATCGATAGCATCACCAACCTCAATCAAGTCGCTTCCTAGCTCAGTCGCCAAAGAGTACTTTCGATTTTTGAACAAAAGAACAAGTGAAGTATGGAACTGTAACTCGATACCGATTTTTGCTCCGTACGAAGGCTCTATGCAGAAAATTGGCACCGAGCCACTGAACAAATCGGTATCCGACCGATTTTGTCACAAAAAATCGGGAGGTATCCACTAAATGCACTGTACTTACAGAGGGTATCTCCCAATTCTAGCTCTGTAATCGGGAGGTACCACCCAAAGCCCGCCCACCCGGATATCCCCGCATGAGCCGGCCTTCCACAGATGGCGACTCATTCCCATGGTCGCATCTCAACACAACTATCCTGCCGCATCTTTGACTCACTCCGTCAAAGACTCGGAGCAGTTGTGGCAGGCTACTATCAATCCCATCGCCTGAAAGCTTGCTATCTGATGCACGCAGAGGCGACCGTTGAATAATAACGTGTTGCTTCTGTTTGCCCCTCGCACCCTGCACCCTCCGGCCTGTCTTCGATTGACATGCGCTTGGGAGGGTTAAGTCTGCGACGCATCCCAGGAATTGCGGATCGCCATGTCGGCTGGTCGACACAAGTCGTGAGAGCAATCTCCATGGTTCAAGAGTCAAGGACGATGTTGAACCGCTTTGGCGTGCACCCCAATGATTGATGCAGCGAGGATATCGCTGTTCGGGAATTTCAAGAGGTTAATGCTCCAGCTCTCTGGGGGTCAAACCTTCTTCTGGTGCTTCCAGCTGCAACGAATCAACGATGTGGGTGGGCGCTACTGACGTCATACCCCGAGCGAAAAATCGCACGGGACACGTGACTGCGCGCTCACCTCAACGCGTCGCGTCGCGCACCGCACCGCACCTCCACCGCACCTGTCCCAGAAACCGACGACACAACTCCACGACTTTGTCGCGAGTAAAGGTCCATACCACATCACCACCACCCACTGCAACGACGACGAACATCAACCTGAATTGAAAACCAACCCCAGGAGATACAGACGTGTCCGACCCCAAAGCCGAGCGCCTCTTTCACAGGTTCGTCAATCGCGAAAGGACGTGGACCCGAATTTAGTCGGCATCCGTCAAGCAGCGAAGCCCTTGAAGCCGAACAGGGCCGTCTCCTCTACGCCGCGATCCAGTGATCGGGCTGCGGCCGTTAACGTAGATAGATACGACCCCTAGCTCAGACGATGATGAGCTAGCCGAGGGGGCACCTAGTTTATCTGGACTACTGCTGGCGTAGTATGCGAACCCCATTCCCCCGACTACGTCGGTTTGGTGGAGCCCCAGAAATTTTCACATCAAAATTTCTTATGTCAGCGGAATTGTGCACCCTGATGATCAACGCACGTGCACCCACGCATCTGCAAACGGCCAAACACACAATCTCGTCGTCCATGTCTGCTCCCGACAAACCTTTCCCGCCTAATATCACCACCGCCGCCCTCACAGACGATCTCAATTCGTGCATAATGATCTTCCACCTTTTGAGCCCAGCCACATCCAATTTGTGGAGGCTTACGCCACACTATGAAAATTCTGTTTATACTTTGATGGATGCCTACTATGCATCGTGATACTATTTATGATAACCAGGAAAGCTTCGATCCAGGTTCGCAAGAGTATTATCAATAACCTCAATAGCCTGCAGATAACTCACTGTATGAGATTATATAGGAGGAAGAACATGGGTCTTCCTCTACCCATCAACCATCCCTGACAAGACCAACTCATCATGTCCAAACCCACAAATTCGTGCATAATGAATCCGGTGCCCAGCCATGCTCGTGGGCACCCAACCCTTGTCGAACCGTCGCATTCTTGCCCGTCCCCCCCATCTCCTCCCGTCCCTGTTATGCGCCGCGAAATGACACTTGCTTGACCTACCCGTTGTGCAGTGTAGCCGTCCCGTCTTGGGCGCAACATGTAATTTAAGCCCTCCTAGCACCTGAAAGATCCTGATGGAGTGCACCTTAAGGTGGAGAGAAGCGTGTTGCTGTCGCGGGATCAATCCTTGAAAGAAAGATTTCAGGCGCAGCCCTGTCGCTTCTTTGGGGACATTCCCTGACCACTGTCCTCTCCTCAGCGTTGCCCCCCATGAAAACTCACACAGACAAAACACAATTAGCTTTTGAAGACAGGCAGCTGAGAAGACACTGAAAGTCACTCAGTGTCGCTCGTCTGCGTTGGTGGGGGAATATCGGTCACGTATTTGGGCCAATTCACAGTGTTGCCCATTGCACCGGACGGAAACGAGTGGGTCATTGTACCCCGCGTCACACACAGCACCGTGGTGGGTGGTACAATGACCCACTTTACTTGCGCGGAGCTCAATTGAGGCTGGACGTCAGGCGCGTGCCTGCCTCATAAAGATGCGCAGGTGAGGAGATGGTGTTGAGGAGGCCTTTGTGTCTCGTGAACCTTGTCCCCTCATCTACCATTCCTGCCGTCTGCTGCCGACGACAGTATATATGTTTTTTCTTCTTGTTGTTCTCGAATACTAAAAACCCCGATGTAAGGAGGACGTGGCGGGCCAGACTGCATATCTCGGTAGGGTCGGCACCACCCACATCGCAGCAGGCGACCGAGAATCCGTCTGGGGCCTGGACGTCACACCGCACCCTTTTCTCCAACAGATATTATGGTAAATCCAAATCTCATCTTGTCCGACGAAGAGTCGCATGGTTTCCAAGAAAGAGAGCTGGTACTGGGATGGTCGAGGCAAAGCACTGTTCTCCGCCGTGGGCATTAATTGACCGCTGAGAGGAGAGCCAAGCAGCAGACCTCGTGTCGACTTCAAGTCCATGAGCTGATTGATGAAAGCTCCTGGATCAAAAGTCGGAGGTGGGCGCGATTGATCCTGTTCTGCAGCTCTGGCTTATGGGCAATCCATTTCAGAGCTAGTGGTGCTGCGGTGTGATATGACGCCTCAGACGATTGTGTATCGCGACTTGGGTTGAATCTTGCGACATGCCAATGGATCCGAGGACTCGCGGAGCGGGCAGCGCCGCGACCCATTCCGGAGACCGACCCACAGAAAGCCGATGACCCGGATGCCGACAGCGACATAAGTGGGCCTTTGTACACATATTTGTGTACAATGGCCCACAAAACACCGGGTGGCGGGCGAAACGGCCCCGGCGTGTTTTGGCACAAGCAAGAGGGGAACAGGAAGACGCACTCTTACCCCCTCCTACCTGAAAAGCCAGCGGGAGGGTTTGTGGTAGGCAGGCAAGGTAGGCACGCAGTCCCTTCCATGTTCTCTAGGCTGCAAGAGGGAAGGGATGTCGCAGGAGAAGGAGGTAGGCACTTCGGGACTGCCGCAAGTTTGCAGCAAGCAAAGGTAGCGAGCGGTACGCCGGACGGACACCACAGCGCACAGCCCGCTGTAGCTACAGTGGCTACCTGCCGGTTTGTGCGCCAATTTTGGTATCAAGCCTAGGTCTGACATTATTCAGTGCCTAAGGTAGCCACTAAAAGCGCTGAAGCCGTTCAACAACCATTCCTCACACACCCGGTACCCATCGTGCCATCGCCGTGTCAGCCAAGATCATAGTCCCTAATGGGACATTCCTCCCTGTCTTGTTCATGCCCAGCATTATGGCTATCGCTGATGATCATGGTCAGTCCCAAATTCCCAAACATCCTGCCGCTTTTCGTCGTCTCCGCCCGCCGCCTCGATCCCCGAGCACGAGACCATTGACCCCGCCGATCCAAACAAGTACCAAAGAACTGGCAGCACTGCTGGCCGCTTCCAAAGGCGCAGTTTTCCGAATGCACCGGCCACTTTTTCATGCATTACATCGGAACATGGAAGCGTACTTCAGCAATGGCAAACCGCCGGGCGATACTCAACTTGGGAATGTGTGCCGAATCTCTTAGCGACCAAGGTCATCTACCTTGACCATCCGCCCCGGTGTTGGATCCGGGCAGACAGTTCTACTCGGACTGGTCTTCCTTCGTAATGCGCAGCCGACTGCAAATATCAAGCAGTGGACTCAGTGGAAATCTGCTTTCCAAGTGGCATTTTCAACGCCCAACAAAGCCATCTCGAAGTTGCTATGCCCGGTGGGGTCTGGCGATGAAACCCGCCCTTCTCAGACTCGTCGGGTATGAAAAACATTCTGGATTTGTTGATGGGTCCTCTGATGATTGTCTCCATGCAAACAACTGCGTCCCACGCCC